TATATATATATATATATATATATATATATTTGACTTGTATCACACCTGTGTCGTGATACAAGTCTTAAATTTTATTCATAATGGTCTTAAAATTATCTTTGTACATCATAAATTTGAGTTGGTGAAACCTGCAGAACCCATCTTAGTAGTTGCACCTCTTTCTTAAATCTTTTGTTGTTTGCCCCCTCAACAAAAGATGAGAAAAATAATATTTCTTTCAAATTTCATAAAATTTGTGCATGTGTTGTTTTTTAGCTACACCATCTGAGTTTGGCAAAGTGTGTGATGCCTACACATTCCAGTGTGCCAACGGAGTGTGCGTGAGCCTAGAGTGGAAATGTGATGGCATGGACGACTGTGGGGATTATTCTGATGAAGCCAACTGTGGTGAGGAGATCGCTGCACTGCAGATCACTATCGATCCAGGCAGATCCAGATTTAAAAATAATTGCCTGTCCCAAATCAGCACCTACACTAACTCTCAACATTCCAGTTCACACTCCTGAGGTGCCAGGCTGCTCCAGATACTTCCAGTTTGAATGCGGAAATGGGCGCTGCATCCCTACCTGGTGGAAATGTGATGGAGAGAATGACTGTGGTGATTGGTCAGATGAGGCACAATGTACAGGTACTACCAGCTACAGAAGACTGTAAAACTTGGAATACCTATGAGTTTTACTTTGCTTATTTACTGATTTACCTTGATTTCTCACCATCAGGGGGCGTTACTCCCCATGCTGTCACATTTGGTCCCATCACATGTGCGCCCAACCGCTTTCAGTGTGGCTCTGGAGCCTGCATCATCAACACCTGGGTCTGTGATGGCTACGCCGACTGTCCTGATGGCAGTGATGAACTAGGATGTCCCACAGGTTGGAGTCCTCTGCTTCAGTTCAAGATGTCTTTTAGATCAGAGTGGGGACCACCAAAGGACACTAACAGGACCTTGGAAAGCTGGAATAGCCATGAGAAAACATTTAAAAATATTTCATCTACAACACATTTTTAATCATAACTCCCTTACCCTAAAATCTAATCTAATTTCCAGCTATTATTATAAAATTCAAACATTAGAAAACCTCCTCGGTGATTTAAAAAGATGAACACAAAACTTTTAATGCTAAATATTTCTCAAAGTTCCAAATATAAGTTAAAATAATTTAAGTTGCAGTTTGTAACTTTCATTAAAAAATATGTTTTTTACATATTTGTTCAAGCTGTCACCAGGGTTTCACCCAGAAAACTTGCTAAGTCCGGTGGTCGGGGCACCGAGGCGGCCCACCACCAACATCTTTGATTATGTATTAAAAGATGTTGACAGGAACTATAAAAATATTACTGGATTATTATAAATGTTGCAGGAAGACATTGTCAGTGGGCGACTGTGGGCTATTTAAACCCACAACTATAGAGTCTTAAAAACAACAAATAAACAAAAATATAATTAAAATAAATATCAATTACTTGCACCTCTGATAATCCAAATTCAGCCAGGAGCTAGTTAAAGCGCTCAGGCCTTTAGAACTTCATAAAGGTTAACATTTTAAGACAGACCACAGGTGTAGAAATTTAACATTTGTTCATTCAGAATAGCAGTGCTGTTAAAGAGCTGGCAAGTTTACTTTGTAAAAGTTCAAAGAACAACCTTCATAGATAGTTTTGTTAACATAGCTACAATCTGATGCTGTGAGTTTAATCTTTGAGTTTGAGCTTTGTTTGTTCACAAACATATTTCAATAAGCTAAAATTATCACTGATGTCTTTTTAGGTTGGCCAATGAAACTACCTTCCCTCCCCCATATTTCTCTAAATCCATGGTGAAATGCTGTTTGTTGTGCTTAGCAGCAAGAGGGGCCCATACATCCAATTCTGCTCAAGGCTTCATACAAACTTAGACCGGCCCTACATGATGAGTTAAATCCACTGCACTGTGCATGTTTCTGTTGTATATAAAAAGACAAATGAGAGATTTAATTCATGTGGCTTTAGCAGCTCTTCCAATGGCTTTAGCAGCTCTTCCAGTTTTTAATAAGTGCCACACTATATCTCACCAGTATTCTGTAATCTGATTTGGACAATAAAATCCCAATGAAAAGAAACTTGCTGGAGAAAATATTAGGCTCTGCAGGTGACTGCTGGAGTCTAATGTTACCAAAGTGTTTGTAAAGGTTTAAACTTGTGGGTGAAGCACAGCAAAGATACGAATGTAGGGCAGATGGTTGATGTTTGAAAAAAGTTAGCTTATTCTAAAAAGCAAACTTCTGCTTAAACTCTGACTTCTCAGTTCATGAGCAACAAAAAATCTGTCCCCATTTCACTTTTCTTTTTTTCCTTGAAAGCACAGAAGACGACAACCAAACAGGGAGCAAAAAAAAAGTGTTTTTTTGTGTTTTAATTAGTGACACATTTATGTCAAAGAAGCTTCATAGATTGCTAGTGTGTTGCCAAGTGACTGAGGCCGCCGCATTAATCCGTCCTGGAACATTCTTTGCTTCTTATTCCTCTGACAGCAGCTAATAGCTCCATGGCCCCGGCCCCTCCTGTATTCCCTGGACGCTGCACTCAGCGTCAGTTCCAGTGTCATCGTCCCCCCCACTGCATCCAGGAGTGGTTGCGGTGTGATGGACACCCACACTGTGAGGACAGCTCCGACGAAGCCAACTGCCGTAAGTCTCTGTGAACCACATGCAGGCACTGAAATACTGCTATAGACATTTTACTGTTTGTCACAGGGTTGCTATGGATTCTGAGACATTCAGGAATTTTCTTTGACCATTTTTCAGATCTGAAAAAGTAGAAAAGAAAGAAAATTTAATGTTTGATTTTTGTCCTTTTGGCCAGCTTCAGTTGGTTGGACGACAAAAATCAAATTGGCAACAATAGAACAAAGTACAGTAATAACACATCAATGTCTATAAAATAATCAGGTATAATAAGAGAGCGCCGTAACATACAGTACATTTGAATGAATCCAGAAATGCTGCCTTTGCCACACTCTATTTGCATTTAAAAAAAAAAGTAAATTAAAACATTCCAGATGGGCACTCTTTGTCCAGGAAAAAGGGGGCAGGTACTCTAGCACCACCTAGTGTGTATCTGCGCACACTTTTAATTTTATAATTAATCGACATTCTTTAGCTGTGTTCAGAGGCTGCATCCGTCGAAGGTCAGATTTGTAGGCTAGTTAGATCATGGTGAGGCGACAAGGCCTGTTCGAATTTGAAGACTCCTCTGAATGGGGCCGACAAATGCGTCCTCCTCAGATTTGAAGGATGGGTCTGGTGCGGGCAAACCGGGCGTTCAGGCAATAGCAGTGAAGAGCGGCAAATTATTTTGTTATATTACTCTTTAAGCGACACAATATGATTTTCTACATAGTTTTTAGGCAAGAATGTAGCGCAAGTCTCAAATATGCTTTATTTAACTGTCTTAGAGAGCTGGAGAGTTTTGCATTTGTAAATCAATAATTTGCTTATATTTATTCCTTGTAGAACTGTGCTATACATGTTTGAACATATTAGAAACAAAAACTTTTTTTACTAGGGAACAGCCTTTACTACAAAAGGTGAAGATTAATACAGAAATAAGGAGCAATAAAAAAAAAAAAAAAAAAAAAAAACTTAAGCTCAGTTATTTTTTTTCTCCACTGCTCTGTGCTTCATGCCATTACAGTTGGTAGGCAACATGTGTTACACTGAGGTGCAGGTTAGGCCTGTCTGAATTCACAGCTTTTTTCTTCCGGTCGTCTTTTATTCACAGCCATTGACGGACCTGTTCTATGTAGACCGGTGCTTCGAAGGATGCAGACCCTGAATTCGGTCATGGCTTCTATCAAAAATTTGACCAAGATGGTGGCTTGAGCAGATACTCCTTTTCACCCCTCACAACTTTCAATATTATTTTAAACAGAGAGCAAGTCCTTTATGACAGCAAAAAAAACACATTTCAAGACAGAAAAAGATTTTCTAAAAAAAAGCAAGAACCTGCCCGCTACCACCTTCAATAACTTGACTGCTGGACTCGGCTACACCAAAATGGATGATGACCCAAATGATGAAGACTTCTCTCCACTGTATATTTTGCCAGAGGGGTTCCTTCTAAAGAACCAGTCCACAAAAAGGCCATTAAAGAGAATGAAAACAGACCAAGAGGAATCATCCCTCAGTTCTCTTCCCGAACGTATAGGCAGAGGCGCCGCCAGGAATCGTGGTCCCCCTGACAAAAAATTTGTTTGGGCCCCCCCACACAGCTGCTGTTACAATTTGAGTCTATTTGACCCATAAAAAGCATCACAATTTTAAAGGCTTGCATCTGCCTTGTGTAACCTAAATTGCATTCTAGGACTATTAGCATTATTAAAGAAATAATCCAAGTGATTCTAAAAACTAGGTTCGTCTGCTGGAGGAAGTGGCAAATTTGTAAAACACAGACACAACTAGATGGTGCAAAATCGGTGAATTGTATTAATATTTACAATATATACAAGTTAGTCCACAAATTAAAGTCCAGAAGGGTTCCTTAAACCAAGAAAGTCAACAAGACTTAGTTGATGATGAAAAGGGGGAAAAAAAAAAAAAAAGCAAAAATGATAATAATCCAGTTCCATCAGTGAAGATTGTTGGGCTGAATCTCCAACCAATTCAGGAAGAGTTTCCTCAGATGATAGAAGGTGTTGTATTTCCGGATCCGCTAGACGGTTAGCTCGCCAGTCTGGTCAGCAGGATGCCAGACAATCCTTGGTTCATCCTAGACCCTGCGGCCACTCCTTGAGCGGGGATCTGTAACACACCTGGCCTGTGTAAACAGGCCTAAATAATCAATTTACATGTACATGTATTTTCTTATAATTACATAAGTTTACATAATAATTAAATGCAACTTATGCAAATTTAATTTCTTTGTTTTTTTTTTTACACAACAGCAGTGTTTTATACTGGTAAGTATTTCAATTTGAATGCGCTTTAGATCGGTGTAAAACCACTCAACAGGCTGGGGAGGCTAGTGCTAGCATGCTAGCTCCCGAACAAAACACTCACCAGTTCCCTCTTGACCAACCGTGATCGCTACAACGTTTTTGGTCGAATGATCACACGTCTGCAAGTTAACAGAGGCACACGATTGAAGGATGTACAACAGACATTTGATAACCGCTTTGGAACAGACCAGAAGCCTACCTGAACATCAGAGTCCGACAGCGTCTCCTATCTAAGGTGCCGATTAGCAGCCATATAAGCGGTAGCTGTCAATTTAGGACGCTGACGTGCACCTGTCACATGACGTTAAAACCGCGCGAGAACAATGTTCTCGCTTGGTTTGTATTAAATAAATTAAGGAAAGGAAGATTTTTTTAATTAAATCTTTAAATAAAATAACTAAATTTAACAAAATGGAAAATAAAATAAAACTGAATCTAATATGGAAAAATTATCCTGGTTACACTTGCTTTCTTTTTTTCTGATACTAGCACTATATTTACTGCTCATGAATTTAACATCCAACAGTCCACATCCAGTATGCAAGTAGGTTGCTTACATTTTTTCTATTAGATCACTCAAATGTCTCTCCCCATGAGCAACAGTCAAAAGCAACGTGCAAAATATACAGGTCCTTCTCAAAAAATTAGCATATTGTGATAAAGTTCATTATTTTCCATAATGTAATGATAAAAATTAATCTGTCATATATTTTAGATTCATTGCACACCAACTGAAATATTTCTGGTCTTTTATTGTTTTAATACTGATAATTTTGGCATACAGCTCATGAAAACCCAAAATCCCTGTCTCAAAAAATTAGCATATTTCATCCGACCAATAAAAGAAATGTGTTTTAATACCAAAAAAGTTAACCTTCAAATAATTATGTTAAGTTATGCATTCAATACTTGGTCAGGAATCCTTTTGCAGCCTTCAATGCGGCGTGGCATGGAGGCAATCAGCTTGTGGCACTGCTGAGGTGTTATGGAGGCCCAGGATGCTCCGATAGCGGCCTTAAGCTCATTCAGAGTGTTGGGTCTTGCGTCTCTCAACTTTCTCTTCACAATATCCCACAGATTCTCTATGGGGTTCAGGTCAGGAGAGTTGGCAGGCCAATTGAGCACAGAAATACCATGGTCAGTGGTTTTGGCACTGTGAGCAGGTGCCAGGTTGTGCTGAAAAATTAAATCTTCATCTCATAGAGCTTTTCAGCAGATGGAAGCATGAAGTGCTCCAAAATCTCCTGATGGCTGCTGCGTTGACCTGCCCTTGATAAAACACAGTGGACCAACACCAGCAGCTGACATGGCTCCCCAGACCATCACTGACTGAGGTTACTTGACACTGGACTTCTGGCATTTTGGCATTTCCTTCTCCCCAGTCTTCCTCCAGAGTCTGGCACTTTGATTTCCGAATGACATGCAAAGCTTTCATCCGAAAAAAGTACTTTGGACCACTGAACAACAGTGGTCCAAATTTTCATCTCCTGCTTCTCTGTAGCCCAGGTCAGGCGCTTCTGCCGCTGTTTCTGGTTCAAAAGTGGCTTGACCTGGGGAATGCGGCACCTGTAGCCCATTTCCTGCACACGCCTGTGCACAGTGGCTCTGGATGTTTCTACTCCAGACTCAGTCCACTGCTTCTGCAGGTCTAGAATCGGTTCTTCTCCACAATCTTCCTCAGGGTCCGGTCACCTCTTCTCGTTGTGCAGCGTTTTCTGCCACACTTTTTCCTTCCTACTGACTTCCCACTGAGGTGTCTTGATATAACACTCTGCAAACAGCCGATTCGTTCAGAAATTTCTTTCTGTGTCTCACCCTCTTGCTTGAGGGCGTCAATGATGGCCTTCTGGACAGCAGTCAGGTCAGCAGTCTTACCCATGATTGCAGTTTTGAGTAATGAACCAGGCTGGGAGTTTTTAAAAGCCTCAGGAATCTTTTGCAGGTGTTTAGAGTTACTTTGTTGA